CTATGGAAATGTGGCAATTCATCAGCAAACAATGCTTGGTACTTGTACCATAACAGATTTCATGGTTGTGCATCTTTTTCTTACCTGTAGTCCCACCACATGGATCAGTATTACAAGTTAGACTATTCGCAGGTTTAGTGCCTGTACATAAAGCTTCAGAAGTTGCAGTCAAACCCGTCTGGGTATCCAAGCAAGTCACACTGTAGAATTCTGTTCCACCACCACATGTAGCAGTACACTAAATAGGACACAAAGCAAGAAAAGAAAAGCAAGGTTCAAGTAAACTATAATTTTCTGAAATGACAACTGTACATGTAATAGCCATGATGAAAACATGTAAACTAGGTCACTGTACATTATTACACAATTGATCATGCAAGTATACAATGTCAAAACCATCCCACCCTCTCCCCCCGGGATTACAAATATTGCTGCATTGTTTATTCAATGTTCAGTTGCTGTTATGAACTGAATGGAGAATGGGAAACTTTATTCGTTTATCATTTAAATGGCAGTGTGGTTGGCATGACCGCATGGATTGGCACTATTGAGACAAACGCGCGATCACAATGAATAGCTTTTAAACATAGTCATTTTGTTATTGGCTTTGTCATATGCATAGACATCCTATAACAGGGTTCTCCCCAGCTGACAAAGTGCTGGACGGTATGAATATTTATGAGCTCATTAATATGCATGAACTAATTAGTATTCAAAATGGCCACATACTGGCAAGAAGACAGGTCATATGTAATGATATTTATTATACAGTATGGAACATTACAACACAACACAGGATAAATAATACACAAACAAATCATCTTTGAAGACATGATGCATAACAAATTGAACGCACAAAATAATTACAACAGTTACAATATGAAATCATTACTATTTGTTGATGTTAAATCGTTTTTTTTGAAACTAATGTTTTATGAAGTCAGGCAAAATAAAATAATGTTTCAAAAAAGTACTATAACTTATTTTCTGTATTTTTGTTACTACTGGAAATTTTATGTTTGTATTATTTGTTCATTTCGACATGGCAATATAAAATTTATGTTGTCGCACAAACGTTCGGTTCATTAAAAAACTTGCAAGAATGTGCGTCATCGGCGCCAAAAAGCAAGATGATCAAACGCAATAAAATCTACATAAAAATCTAGCAAAAATAATAGCATTATGTATAAATTTACATACTTAAAAAATAATTTTCATTCGAATCGAAAGTTTGTTGATGTCTGCTTCATTGAA